CAGGGCTGGGGCATGCGGAGGGGCTGTGGGGTGCTGGCAGCACAAAGCGGGGCGGGGGCCACGCAGCCGGGGATGAGCCAGCAGCGGTGCAGAAGCTTGGCTGAGCTGCGGCGTGCGGACACCCAGCGTGCTCTGGCGGATGCTGCTCTGCGGGGCCACTCATGCGCACCGTGCCCCCGCAGCAGGAGCCGGCCCCAGGGGACCCAGGGGATGAAGCCTGAGCGGGGACGGCCGGGGGCTCTGCAAGCATGCGGCAGCAGGGGCCAAAGCCAGCCAGCCAACAGGCCCAGGTCCCCCGTGGCAAATGAGCATTTGCGCATCAGTCGGAGGCTCCAGAGCAGCCTCCTAAAATCAGTACGAGGAACAAACAGCCAAACGAATTCCTAGGAAATCCTGACGCTCTACAGTTTGGGAAAGAGGCTGCGCGACACTGACCCGGGGACGTGCCCAGGCCTGTGTGCGCGGTGGGGCCTCCCTGGGGGGCTGCGTGGTGGCAGGCCGGGTATGCGGCATCTCCACAGGGATGCAGAGGAGCTGGGTGCTCACTGGCATCCCGGGACGTGCTGATGCTGCTTCCCCAGGCACGGAGCTGGAGAAGCAGCATCAGCCTGGAGAGCCGGCCTCCGGTCCCAGGGGACCAGTGGCGAGTTTGGTTCATGGCTGGGCGTCTGTGAGCGCTGTGGGTTCAGGTACTGCAAAGCGTGCGGGAGGTGGCGGAGGGACGAGGCGAGGGCATGGCCGGAGCTGGGAGCTCTGGATGGCAGGGGAGGGAGCGAGTGCGGGGCCAGGGGATGCGAGAGCGGCGGTGGCAGCGGCTGTGCTGGCAGGTGAGGCGCAACCGCACCGGTGGCACAGGATGTCTCTGGTGCGGGACCATCCCCGCCTGTGCAGGTGTGTGCCAGCAAGCCCTGGCGATTGGAGGGTGCCAAGTAATGCCAGCGAGGGCGAAGGAGCTGGAGCCTGGGCAATGGAGGGTGCGGGGGATGGAGGGCTGCTGAGCTGGGGCGCAGGGCGATAGCTGGGTGCGTGCGGCTGCACATGCTGCTGGCTGCGGGCGAGGCGTGCAGGGGCCAGCAGGGCGGATTCGAGGGGTGAAGGCGGGAGGTATGCAGGGCGGGTGAAGGCGGGAGGTGCACAGGATGGGTGAAGGTGCCAGGGACGCGGGAGGGTGCGTGGCAGGGGGCCCAGCGGGGCGAATGGAGAGGGGTGGGGTGCGCAGCGGCAGAGGGGCGATGGCCAGGCTGTGACCGTGGGGCAGGGAGGCGGAAGGGGCAGGACCCGGTCTGCGGTGTCCCGCTCCAGGTCACACAAGACAGTGGGAGCATTGGCACAGACGGGGCTGGGGGACACCTGACGGGGTGCGATGGCATGCCTGGTAAAGCAGGCGGAGGGTTCAGGCAGACACAATGGCTGCTATCGTGATTCGGATGCCTCTTGGCTCACCAGGTTATGGGGCGTGAGGCCCAGGGTACCCTGGGGCACAGAGCGCCGGCTGTTTGCTTGCAGGTCCAGCTTGAGGCCCCTCACGCCGTCCACGGGTGCCTGCCCTGGCTGGGAACAGCGGGACGGCACCCGGGGAGGGGGAGAGGCTGTGAACCCCCAGGGCCCGGCAGTTTCCAGAGAGCTCTGGATGGAGCCGCTTGGGCACGCACCCAGCAAGAGCTCAAGGAAAAGGAGATGGCACCACAGCGCGTCAGGATCCATCCTGGGGACGGCCTGGTGCGCCGGCACAGGACAGGATCCGTCCCAAGGATGGCCTGGTGCACCGGCACAGGGCAGGATCCGTCCCGGGGAGGGCCTGGTGTGCAGGAGGTGCTGCCGCCCCTGCCCCGGGCCTGGGCTTTTTCCCTGGCTGAAGGTTGTAAAGGTTCGGAGAAGTGTGAGGGTCAGAAGGAACCTCCTTGTCCTTCCCTCTAGCACCAGAAGAGTTAATGCCTTCGTGGGGGACTCAGCTTTTTGGGAACACCGGTCACCAAGCCATCCCCTCCCGAGCTGGCCGAGCCCTGGCCACCCCTGAGCCAGGGAAGGGCGAGGCCGGGGGACGGTGCGGTGAGGATGGGGTGCGCGGGGCACCGGGCACCGCGCTGGGGGATGGCGACGCCACCTCCTCCAGTGCTGGGGCTGGCCTGGGTCACTCCGGCTCCCCCAAAGCTGCTGGGCGAGGGAGCAACTCCCGCCAAGCCCTGCTGCCCCAGTGCCTCCGTGACCATGCCACCACAGCACCGCCAGCCCCCGGGCTCCCCAGTGGCGCAGCGGGAGCCAGCCCGGCCACTGGACCAGCACACCGGCCTCCTCCCGCTCCCAATGGCCGCTCCAGAGGAGCAGCCCCACTGGGACTCTCGCGGCCCGTGCAGGGCTGTGCCGGCGACGGCGTGGTGCGAGTGCTGGGCGTGATGGTGGCGATTGCTCCCCGGGAGCGGAGGCGGGAGGAGGACCTGATGCCGTGGGGCCCGCGCCTGCCAGAGGCGCCGGGTTCTGCGGGGTGGTGGAAGCGCCAGCTCCGTGCCTCTCTGCCTGGCGGGGGTGGAAGACTCGGTGTGTCCCAAAAACCAAGTTTTGTTTTGTGTTTCTAAATCTTTAAAATCCAGAGTGTCTGAAAGGAGCTGTTGGGTTGTGTTTTTTTTTTTTAAAAAGACTTTAACATTCATTCAGTCAGTCGCTAAAAACTCCCATGAGCCATGGGCGTCCCAGGGGAGGGGTGCAGGCACCGCCTCGCCAGCATCTCAACAAGTCTAGAGATATATAGATTTAGTAAAATTATAACAAAATCAGGTGGCTATAACTATAGATATAGATATATAGATATTTGTTCTCTCTTTTCAAATATATAGCTGATTAAAAAGATGCAAAATAAGGATGACTAGGACGGAGTGGGAATCCTGTAGTTCAATATCATCTCTTGTAGGTCATCAGCTGCTCTCTATATAAATGCACAGAGATTATATATTATCCATCAACGTGTCCCCCTTGGAAACAAGACCCCAAACCAAGAGGAAATAAAACATCCCCCTCCCTCCACCCACCCCCATTGAATGTTGGCAAAGCATTTTCTGCTGGATTCCCCACCAGCCTCCCTCCGCCATCCCCAAACATGCTTCTATCCATGCGGTTTCAGTCCCTCTCTCACCAGGGCAACCGAGGGCGACAGGCAGAGCAGCAGCACAGAGTCCAGGGCTAGTCTCTCTCGCGGGAATCGCTCTTCTGGCTTGCACGGCAAGGCTGGCTGCTCCCTGGGTCAGCTCTGCGCGGGAGGGAGCAGGTCTGGGCGTCACCGCAGGCGTCCACCTGGCCACCGCGCTGGGACTGCCCTTCCACAGAGACCTCTGCGTGCTGGAGACCTTTCCCTCCGAGCACCAGCAGGACGACCCGGCTCGGTCGGCCACCTCCGACCCTGGCAGGGAGAGCCTGCACGGGGCCGGGGCCACCGCCGTGGCCGTGGTGCCTCCTGCCTGCTCTTCCCAACGCGGGCTGAGTGCCGGCACCGGTGCCGGCCCTGCCTGCCTCCTGCAGCAGCCCCTGCCCTGCCGCGCTCCCACCACACCTGCCGGCTCCCCGGCGCCCCGGCGGGTCGCGCGGAGCCGCTCCAACCTGCCCGAGCTGCGGCCTGGCGGCACGCGCCCAGCCCGCTCACCTCTGCCGCGCTCCAACTGGCGTCTCCCTGCCTGTCACACCTGGGCAACGTGGCCAGCACTTGGCCTACAGCAGAAGCCCTCTCCCTAGCCAGGGCTCGGCTCCTCACTGCACCGCTGGCCCTGTCCCGCTCCCCACCCCAACCAGGTGTTGCCCTTTGACCACGGGGAGCCCGGGCTCGGCAGCACGTGGTGCCTCGGCCCCTCCGGCCACCAGCGACGCCCCTGGGGAACAGCACATCAAGCGATATACAGGCCAGACTCTCTGGGAGGAACAGAAACGAGGATGTATTTCATGCAACATTCCTTGTCCCGAAGGCGTCGCGGGGCTGGCGGGGCCGAGCGGGGGTCTGTGTGTGCGTGGCACGCCGGGGCGGTGGGGGAGCGGGCGGGAGCCCCTTGGCTCCGCGCCCTTCAGTGCAGTGCTCAGAATAGAAAGAGAATCAAAGTGGGTTTTATTAGTCTAGTAGAAACGCCCCTCCCCCCCCCCCCCCCCGCGGTGGGCG